CATTCTATTTATTTTATTCTGCTCATCTATTTATTTTATTTTACAACGATCAGCTAAAGCCTAGCGATTCTAATTTAATTTAATATATAAAATAGGTAGATCTATACGACGGGCACAATCCCGACGATTCTTTGACTGGAATTTTATTTGACTGGATTAAAACCTCGGATAGATTTTAAAAAAGTTTCCATTCAGTATAAGCACCCGAAAATTTATTGAGCTCAATGCGCGACAGTTAAACTCGCGTCTATATTAAAAAAAAATTAATACTTTACTTGCGGTAATTGAAGCGTTGCTTTGTCCCTTGAGGCCTCGATGGAGTTCGTCATGGATAAAAATCGTTTGCCATGCGAAGACATCGTTCTTGAAATATTTCACTAAACGGAAAAGCCGTTCACTTTTTTTAACCAACGTTCGCGTATTAACTAGCGAAATAAAGACCGTCTCAAGTTCGAATGCTTAACGGTCACAAAACACGTGCGAAAATAGCGCAAATACTCGGAGCAAGAACGTCCTCTGTTATTTACGAGTCCTTGGAATAATATCGGTAGCCCCTTGATCACATGTTCGCGAATTTTTAATTTCCCGAATAAATCGATAAATCCTACAACTTTTATTAATTACCTTTTGCAATTTAATTGCAATTTCTACTTAAAATTGCACTGCAATACTATTTTCTCGTTCGCTTGAATCGTAAGCCCGGCTCGAAAGATCGTTAATGCACGCGGATAAAAATTAACATTCTTTGCTAAAATTTGGCAAACCGGTTTGCCGAATAAATGGAATATTTAATAAGAAAATACGATTTATTTAATTTATCGTACGGTAGAAGCAATTTTACTTACAATTAAACAGACGAATTCGTCGCGAATCGAGGGGCTACACGATTAACACTCCGCGCGTGCGATACTTTTCGAGGACTCTCCAAGACTGTCCAGGTCGGGACTATCCGAAAGAACGACGAGAGCGAAGCGCTATGCTCGTTCACGAGTATTACGTAATTTTTAAGTAATTAGGTACAAACATTTCTAAATAGATGGAGCGTCTAGGTATTATTGCGAGTACGAAAGAAAATTAAGTAAACGAGAAATTATTCTTAAAATTGTACTCTTACATAAAAACAGTGACAAAGTATTGAAATTGTAACAATTGCATTAATAAAACACTGTAGAAAATTTTAGAAATTTTGCGAATTTATTAAAAAAGTTACATCTTCAATTTTTATGTCGAATCACAGACTTTTCTTCATTTCATTTATTTTTTGTAGCGCTCCATAAGACTTAAGACTTGATTGTACACCCATATATCAACGTGTTTACCCCATAAGAAATCTAGATGCGTGAAGTATTCGTACGGTACCAAGAATTTCTGTGCGTTTGGCAGCTTTTCATACAATTTACGCGTATCCTGAAAAACGAATAAATAAAAAACGACACATAATAGATTAATGTAAAAATTTTGAAGCATGGGAATAGCTGCAGACGAACCTCGGGAGCGACCAGAATATCGTTAGAACCGTAATATATGTATACTGGCAATTTGACTTTGGCCAAATCGTAATCAGGTGGATGAATCTGTCCATATTTTTTCATATTACCAATTAAACCATGATCATATTTTCTAAACTTGCCTATAGAGAAAAAAAACCGTAATTTAATTAATGTGCAATAAAAAAAGAGCATTTTAATTATCAGTTCACTGACCCGAAGTCATTAACTGTGCGTAATGTACGAATTGTCTGGTGGACGCGCCAGCAGGATCGTATTGAACCACCGTGGACAACAAAGTCTGCAATAAAACTGCGATTAGAATAAAAACTGATTAATCGTCGTGTCAGAAATAATTACCAAATTCATGTCCTTGTCATTGAAACCACCGATCAGGAATACAATATTTTTGCACACTGGTTGTAAGAACGACTGGTCGTCGCATACTATTTTTCCTAGGGTCTGTATCAATTTTTTCGAGGGTTTAAATTCGCTCATACCGATCAAGTCTAACATGAACTGAAAAGTGAAATTGAAAATTAATAAGTTGAATTAACATTGAAACAGTATAAAAACTGTCTACCTTGATGTCACTAGAGTGAGGAGCTAGAATGTTCAAAAGAGGATTTTTTGAATTATTCATGAAAGTTGCTGGTGCGAGGGCGAAAGAAGCTATGATTTTCTCTTGGTACTCCGGTCGTTCTGTGGCCATCACGAAAAATGCCGAGCCACCCTGACTGTGCGATACGAGGAACAGCTTCTCCTGCTTACTTATTTTCAGAGCGTAATCGATCATCGCTGGAATATCGTAGACGCCCATCTCGTGCCAACTGTGCAGTCAAATAATAATAATAATCAGTACTCTCGATCAATCATTTAATACTCTATCAAACGTTGTCACAAGACACCTTCAGAAATTCTCGCCAAAAAATTATTATCATCAGTTTAATCATTTTTTAAATTAATCCATTTATTTTTTATTATAAGAAGAGTAAAGAATTTAATTTAGGAAAAAGTATTAAACTAATAATACTAATTTTAAGCAAAAATTTCAGTCTTTTGGCATTGGTAGAAATAATGTTAATCATACCTGAACAGCCAATAATCCGGATTTGAAACAGTCAGATTCACATGCTTCCTGGAATATCTATTACCACGTACATTGCCCATCCACACGTCGTATCCCCAATCCGACAGCATCAGAGCTAAAACACTACAAATTACGAATTCTGTCTCGATTCATAAAATCGATTAACAAATTACCGAAACCCTTCTCCGGTCCAGGGAACACCCAGCTGGGGGAGCAATCTAAAAGTCCATGTATGAGTAATACAACAGGCTTGCCAGCAGCCGGAGGACTCTTCTCCGATCCGGTGATCCTCTCCAAGCCCAGAATGTACCCATCCTCCGTGACGACCTCGTAGGACTCCGCTTGGTACCCCGCTTTCACTGCCAGATCATGCTACGCAAACGTCAGCCGTGATCGAAGGAACGTAAGACACTAATCTAAATTTTTAACTAACTAATTTTTAATAATTTTTAACTAATTTTTAAATCGGTGTTTCACTAACTGGTGTCAATGCTTTATACGCTTCAGGAATCTCGTACTGATCCTCGAGGGGTAGTCCTAATATCGCTGGCAGCAAGCAGCACAGGGCGAGAGGTATCCCAAGCATGGTCGCGGATGATTTGTCCCGGACAATTAACAGTAGCCGTATATAAAGTATCACCTACACGTTTTTTTCGTGTAAAAAAATAACGAATTATATCTTTATCGATTATCAAAAGATCAGGTGTCAATCGAACGATTCGCTGATCGATAAAGCTTTTTCTTCAATTTCTGTTATTGTTTCACAGATTTCCGTCTCTTTTCGATAATTCAAACAAATATGTAATAGGATTAACAGAAGTTGATAAAGAAAGCGAGATTATATCTGTCGTTATCGACCCACCTGTACTTACTTGATTAACGATGAAGACTAAAAAATGTCAATGTCAGGATAAAACAACGTTGGATATTTATCTCTTACTCTCTAATCGTTTATTTCAAGGTCTTTCGATAATAATATGTCAATATAAAAATCGATTGACCCTCTTGTAAAAAGAAAAGTACAGTACGAGTGGTAATATCTCTGCCAAAAGTTTAAGACACGTGTTCAATATTTGAGGCAATTTTAGAATTAATTATAATTACAGAGGAATAAAATTTATAAAATTGTTCGATTAGTTTTTCTCGGTCATAAGGAATTTTAAATTATACAG